GCTCAGAGGTGCTGGGCCGTGGAAGGGGGTGACAGTGATGGCCCCTCGGCATGTGGGGGAGGCTGGTGCAGGCAGCTCCCCTTGTCCTGGGAGCTGACAGGCTCCGCCCCCAGCGAGGCCCCGTGTCTCCAGGGCGTTCACACAACAGCTCCTACCCATGTGCGGGGCCTGCTTTCAGAGCAAGGCGCTTCACTATCACCTTGGTTTTCTACGGAATCATGTTGTTTATAAAAATCGTAATTCTATTTAAAAACCACTTATTGTGTGTACTGTGTGCCCGGAACAGTGCGAACTACTTGTTAGCATAATGCTTCTCCTGTGCAGATGCCAAAAGCTCAAGCGAAGCCATGTTAGGGTCACACAGAGCGATGTTAGGGTCACACAGAGCGATGTTAGGGTCACACAGATGGTACACGGAAGACAGGGCTCTGGCTCCAGGGGCTCTCACGTCGAGGCTTTGCTTCCAAGCACTGAACTGCACCTGATTTTAAAAATACAAGTATCGCCCTCGCCTGTTTGGCTCCATGGATAGTGTCGACCTGCAGACTAAAGGGTCCCAGGATTGATTCCGGTCAAGGGCACATGCCCGGGTTGCAGGCTTGATCCCCAGTGGGGAGCATGCAAGAGGCAGCCAATCAATGATTCTGTCTCATCTTTGATGTTTCTATCTCTCCCTCCCTCTTCCCTCCTCTCTGAAATTAATAAAAATATATTCAAATATATATATATATATATATATATATATATCCCTTTTAAAAAAAATACAAGTATCTACTGTGTGATGTCATATATTATAATAGGCTGTTGTGTTACACGTTGTCAAGGTCCAAGACTTTATTTATCCTAAACGTGACTATTCAACATAGTCATTGCCAGGCAAAAACAAGACTTCCATGGTAAGAATAGTGGGCTATTACCTATTAGAAAAAATAAAAGTCACGCTATTGAATGTATCCTTTAGTGGTTTTGGAATTGCAGACCTCGCCCCGGGCACCTCGGGTGAGCTCGTTATAGCAGCTGAGTGAGACGTTGGCACCAGCCTCCCAGGCAGCTAACCCCAAAGGGAAAACTGTTGAATTACCAGGTTCATTGTCAGGCCAAGGGAACAGGCGCCCCCTGGCGGGGACGCACTTGGTCCGGGGGTTGGATTCCAAGGAGCTGTCCTGTGGGTGCTTGGAAATAAAAACAAACGTGAACAGAAATTTGAACGACAGTTTTGCAAATCACGTAGAAAATTCAGACAGTTGTGGTTTTTTACATAAGTCCTTTCGAAACGAATAACTGACCTAAAAAAATAAACTGACCCAGTGGGATTTTTTATGGGAACTGAGGATCCCAGTGAGAGGCAGAGCCATTTGGAAATTATATAGAGATGATAGAGATAGATAGAGATAGAGATAGAGATAGAGATGATAGAGATAGAAATGATGTGGATATAGATATAGATATAGATATCCTCAGATGTCCCCACAGATCTATAGATGCATACAGAATATATCGATACCTCATTATCTGTATCTGTATCAACATACCTAGAGAGAGGGATTGGTCGCAAGGAACTGGCTTCTGTCTTCATGGGCAGCTAGGCAACCCCAAATCCACAGGACAGGCCACCAGGAGGGCGTGGGGCCTCAGGTGTCGCTGAAGCTGTGGCCACAACGGCTTCTCTTTGTGGGGCGGCCTCCATCCGGCTCTTGAACCTTTCGATGGTTGAGCCAGGCCCATGCGGCCTGACCGGGATGTCTCTCCAGGGAAGGTCCCGGTCACAGGCCTGTAGACCTGCAGATCCCTTCACAGAAACACCCGTCAGCGAGGATGAAGCAGCCGGGACTATAAACAAGCCACGCAGACGCACAGAGCGAGCCTTGTGGAGCCAAGATAACTCGGTTTCCACATATTGCTTCTAATCAGACCTAACTAGGGGGAGAGCGCAGAGAGCCACAGAATAGGCATGTATTGCTTTTATAATTTTTTAAAGGCTGTAAAAATTATTTGTTAAAAAATTAAGCATTAACTATTTTGGTCCAAATAACGTAAGAACGAATGTCTTAGTAACTTAATAGTCATTTGGGGAGAAAATAGCTCATATAAATTGAAAGAAATATATGTTTTTATTTTGTTCTTAAACAGCTACATCTTCTGCTCCAAACAGGTGTCGCCGTGTGGTTTCTTGCTGATGCTCTAAGCACGGGAAACCCAGCTTTGCAAACACAGGGTGTCATTAGAGGGTGGCAGCACGGGGGACATGGACACCGCGACCTGCCTTTGTCAGTAATTCACACGGTCTCCAGCGGGTGTCGAGCATCCCTGTGTGTGCCTCAGAAATTTACCGACACCATTGCACCCTAGGAGCTTGTTGCGGCACCCCAGGGTGCCTTGGGGCACAGTTTGGGAACTGGAGCCTAAGCATTTTTACAAGCGTTTTGTGGACATTCTTGAGTTCGGGATGATGAAATTTAAAACCCGGCCATTTATTAATCAAATCCGACCTCCTAGATCAGTGGTCGGCAAACTGCGGCTCGCAAGCCACATGCGGCTCTTTGACCCCTGGAGTGTGGCTCTTCCACAAAATACCAACTTCTGCGCATGGGCCATGAAGTTTCAATCACACTATATGTGTGCACCCGCACGTGGTATTTTGTGGAAGAGCCACACTCAAGGGGCCAAAGAGCTGCATGTGGCTCGCGAGCCGCAGTTTGCTGACCACTGTCCTAGATCCTCATTCTGTGTGAGACTGGAGTTGTTTCCGTGAGGAAGCCGCTGCCTGCTGGGACTGCATTTCCGCTGTCCTCTCAAATAGCGGCGCAGGGCCACGGGCATCGTGGCCGATCCCCACAGCGTCGTTTTGCCACGTTGCATGCCTTTTGCCACATGGAAGTGGTGGGCTTAGTCTGCGCTCCCGCCTTTCTGTTTGGTACTGTATCGTTGGTTCTCCGGCGCTGTGTGAAAGGGAACTTCGTGTCTCTGTCGGAAAAGGCCTCTTCCTTCTGACAAACTGATCGAGCTCCGGGGTGTTCCTCCACCGTGAACTGATTTCCTGTCTCATCCACTGGCTGATAGGACGGACGTGTGTGCCCTGCCAGGCCCCGGGCAGCCCGGCCTCCACAGGAAGCAGTGGGTGAGGTCACACAGTGAGCTCTGCTGAGTGACGGGTCAACACAGCCCCAGGGCCACACAGAGTGACAGTCACACAGCCACACACGGCCACACTCAGCCACACCCAGCCACACTCAATCTCACACAGCCACACTCAGCCACACACAGCCACACTCAGTCACATTCACAGCCATACTCAGTCTCACGCACAGTAACAAACACACGGTCACACCCACAGTAACAAACACATGGCCACACACACAGCCATGCTCAGTCACAGTCACACTCACAGTCTCACACACAGTAACAAACACACGGCCACACACACAACCACACTCAGTCACAGTCACACAGTCACATAGACACACACAGCAAACACACACACACAGTCATAGTCATACACAGCCACACAATGTGACTTTCTTGTCAAGTCCTGAGGTTTCGGTCGTCCCCAGTGAGCAATTCAAACAAGAAACTGGACCCAGTGAGGAGGCGCCACAACCTGCGGGGAACTGTCTCGGACACCTGTCCTCTGAGACAGGAGGGACGGGGATGGTTTAGGGATGAAGATGATTGTTTTCTACATCCTGTTGGTTTGGGGTTTCCTCTATCCGTTCAAAGCATCTTACCTTAACACATTGTATGCGGGAAACATGTTTACACGTTTTACGTATTTATACGTTCTACCAGTGTAGTAGAGCGCGGGACACGTATTAGTAAGTTTTTTATAGACTAGCGGTAGAATGCGGGTAACGTACAAATACGTAAACTAAAGTTATCGTAATTTTACTGAACGTTGCCATTTGCGCAAAAAATTAGCAAAAATGGCCCGCGCCACCTGTTAGCGCGCAATAAAAACTACTCGCAAACAATGTGATAAGCAAAACAGCTAACTTCCTGGCTGATGCGCAATGTTCACTGGGGAGCTTTCAAGTTTCTAGAACTTTGTGTTTTCCAGAAACTCGGGGCGGTGCCCTAGCCGTCGCCTTTGCCCTAGCGTCACCTGTTGCCGGCAAACACCCCCCAAACTCTGTGATTGGAAACAGCAGCAGTCTGGCTCCTGCGTTGCCGTATTTTGTTTTCCGCACAACCCTGTCATTTGGGCAGTCCTGGGAAGACAGTTTGCTCCCTGAGGGGTGGGCTGGGGCCACTCGGCCAGGAACCAGAGGATCCGTTGAAACGGGGCTCAAACACTGGCCGGCTGTCCACTCCGAACTCAGCAGGGCTGGAGGGCCGAGAGCCTCCCCTGGGCCTCCCCATAGGGCCACCCAACGGCGGCTGGGCTGCAGAACCAGCACCCTGAGAGAGGGCTGCAAGTTGTGTGCTCTGCACAGCTGAGTGCTCCCCACAGCTGGCAGGAGCCCCTCTGACATCCGTGTGCTCCCCACAGCTGGCAGGAGCCCCTCTGACATCCGTGTGCTCCCCACAGCTGGCAGGAGCCCCTCTGACATCCGTGTGCTCCCCACAGCTGGCAGGAGCCCCTCTGACATCCGTGTGCTCCCCACAGCTGGCAGGAGCCCCTCTGACATCCGTGTGCTCCCCACAGCTGGCAGGAGCCCCTCTGACATCCGTGTGCTCCCCACAGCTGGCAGGAGCCCCTCTGACATCCGTGTGCTCCCCACAGCTGGCAGGAGCCCCTCTGACATCCGTGTGCTCCCCACAGCTGGCAGGAGCCCCTCTGACATCCGTGTGCTCCCCACAGCTGGCAGGAGCCCCTCTGACATCCGTGTGCTCCCCACAGCTGGCAGGAGCCCCTCTGACATCCGTGTGCTCCCCACAGCTGGCAGGAGCCCCTCTGACATCCGTGTGCTCCCCACAGCTGGCAGGAGCCCCTCTGACACCTCTGTGCTCCCTACAGTTGGCAGGAGCCCCTCTGACACCTGTGTGCTCTCGTCTTCCCGCAGCTCGTCTTCTGCCGCGACTGTAAGGACGCCTACCACGAGGGGGAGTGCAGCGCCCTGGCCGCCGCCTCAGGGGCAGCTGCTCAGGTAAGGTGCCCTCGTCCCCCTCGGGCTCAGAGTGTGGGTGGGAGAGAAGAGCTCTGTCCTGAAGGTCCTGGAGGGTTCCACTCGGAATCAACAAGAACCGGGCCGGGCGCCTGCAGCCTGGGAAGGGGGCAGTGGCTCCTGGGCCATCGGATCCTTCCAGAACCTCACCCCTCGGGGTGGAGCCGCAGACTCCCCGTGTGGGGGCGCAGGTGCCTCCACATCGCGTTTCCCCGAGGTGCAGGGTGTAGGGGTGAGGGACACAGCAGATCAGAGAGTCCGCACAGGAGATGTGACACCAGGCAGCCACCCCTAAGCCGGAGAATCCATACTCACCTCATGCTTATTCTCTCAAAGGCGTCTTTGCTTAGACTCTGGCAGAAATGCCTCCAGGATTGAAATGCCGGGAGTGTTATGCGGCGCAGGGACATCATGGTTGTTTAGCAACGTGGTGAGCTATGCTGGGTGGGGGTTCAGCCTCGATCAGTAAGAGCGCTGTCCGCTGAGCCCCTCCGGGCTGCATCAGGCCTCAGGGAACGCAGCTACGTTCTCTCTTATTTATTAACTACTAGAGGCCCGGTGCACAAATTCGTGCACCGGTGGGGTCCCTCGGCCTGGCCTGCAGGATCAGGCCAAAACTGGCTCTCCAACATCCCCTGAGGAGTCCTGGATTGTGAGAGGGCACAGGCCAGGCTGAGGGACCCCACTGGTGTACAAACGGGGCCGGGGAGGGGTGCGGGAGGTTGGCCAGCCGGGGAGGGCTCCAGGGCGTGTCCGACGTGTCTCGCTCAGTCCCAATTGGCCGGATGCCAGCAGCAAGCTAACCTACCGGTCAGAGCATCTGCCCCCCGGTGGTCAGTGCACATCATAGCGAGCAGTTGAGCAGCCTTACCATATCATTAGCATATTACACTTTGATTGGTTGAACGGACAACCGGACACTTAGCATATTAGGCTTTTATGATATAGGATGATCCATCCAGCCTCAGGGGCAAGGACTCACCCCTTCAGCACAGCCGGTGAGGATGCTCATTCTTCTCTCCTGATAGAGACGTTAGCAAGGGTTTAAACGCCACATCTGCCCGGATAAATCCTTCCGTCATTCTATTGACAGGAGCTTCATAAATCAACATAGAAATTCCAGAACATTTTAATTTTACTCTAGAGAACTTTAAGTGTCTGAATGCTGCAGAGTCAGAGCGTAAGGAAGTAGATCCCCGTACGCCTTCTGCAGATGTAGTTACTCAGTATTCGTGTAATTACACACACATAACTGCCGCGCTCAGGCTTCTCGCCAGCCTCTGAATGCTGGCCCGAGACCTGGGATGTTCGGCTGAATTGCCGTTTCCGTAGCAGCGGTGGCAAAGCTCTCTCTGCTGACTTTGTCTGGGCCCAGGAGCATTCACATGGGAGCCCACTGGGTAGTGATGTCAGGCTGGATAATGACCTTGAGACCACCCTGCCCTCCCCTCAGGGTCACTGTACCCCGGAGGGTAGAGCCTGGGGCCCTGGGAATGGACTTGGCCTTGCACCTTCCAGCCAGATCCTGTGATGACCACAGGCCTGGACAAAGGCTTCCAGGAAGCGGTGCCCCCACACCTGTTCGTGTAAAACAGTGGGAGTCAGTGAAGAAGAGCATCGTCTCACACAAAGCTGCCCAGGGGCCCTGCCCACCCCGTCGTCTCCTTCGCTCTCCATTGAAGAGGAACCAACCAGCTCTGGCGTTACAGGTCGACGGAGCCCACATTTTTTAAAGCCGCTGTAGCCTTCCTGTTCGCTGGGGGAAACGGGAGGGGTCCACGCCGGCCGTCAGCACAGAGGACTGGTACCAACCGGTACCGCAGGCCTGTGTCGCAGACACGTCACTGGCCCACTAGCCGACTTAAACCAAGGGTCTGTATAGGCCAGTCACCCTCCTGGGAGGGTGCAGCCCCTGTGTTTCTCCTCAGGCTCAGAGGGGAGCCACAGGGGAGACTTAGGCAGTAAACAGCGATAGTGACAGGCTCACCACGTCTGGGAGATGCATGCCTTTGTATGATGCTTCCCCGCAAAAGTCCCGGACGGTGGGTCAGTGTGTCCGGAGGAGAGTGAGGTCAGATACAAAGCGTTCCAGCAGAGGGCACTGCCTGGGCAAAGGTGCCGCCGGAATCTCCTCACCTGGGCGCTCAGTTCCTCCTGCGTCCCAGCCCCAAGACAGCATCTGCTCCATAGGCTTTTAACGGGTGTTTGCTGAGTGATGGTGGCATCTACACGAAGAGCCATTCTCTCGTCCCTTCAAGAAAGATGTGCTAACCCGCTCTGGTGGGTCAGGTGTGTGGTCGGCTCGGGGGCTGAAGTCCCTGAGTCACAAAGCTGATGTTCCTTTACTAGACGCCTCAGTCCGTCCACATGTGGGGAGACCCGGGGAGGGGGCGCTGAGTCAGGAGAGGGGGCACCAAGGGAGAGTCTGCCAGGGTCCAGCCCCAGCAGGTCCAGGGGTCCCCAAAGGTGTGGACGGAGTCGGCGAAGAAGGAATGACACGGAGACAGCGTTCAGTTGATCAGCAGCCTTGCCAGGATCTCTAGCCACAATCTCCAGCCAAGTTCTGTGTCCATGTTCTCTTGCTAGGTTCTCCAGCCAGGTTCTCCAGGTTCTCCAGCCAGGTTCGGTTTAGGTTCTCCAGCCAGGTTCTCTAGGTTCCAGCCAGGTTTGAACCAAGAAAGAGAGAATTCCTTTGTTTGGGGAATTATGTATCCCCAAATTTTCATGGGCTTGCAGTGGTTTTACCTCTTCTCATCACTGATTTCTGTTCTGAGGTTTGATTGACAAGTACCTTCTTTAGGTCACTCCAACTTCACTGTGCATGTGGTGATCCTCCCCTTTGTCAAGTCCCGTCCCCCAGTAATCTGCAGGGGCACAGCGCCAAGAAGGTGAGCAAACATATTAAGAACAGTATGCCATATATGCCAGGTCCCTTGAAACAGCAAGGATGGACCGGCTCCCCGCAAGAGTCGAGGGAGAAGGCCCTGCTCAAGCCCTCCCGGCAACGCGGCCGCTTCCCGCCTGGAGCCCTCATCCTGGGGCCGCCTCCCACCCCTCGGATTCGAGAACAGAGCAAGTCACCCAGCGGAACCGGAACCGCAGAAGTCTCTGGCACGGCTGTCAGGAGCCCCAAGAGGAGGAAAAGAAGATGGGACATTCTCCGTGAGCTAATCACCAGCAGCCACCGTCCTTAGTTCAGCCACAGCGACCCTTGGGTGGGAAGAGCGAACCGAACGAGCGAGTCATCGACTGAAAGGCTGGGTTCCGTTACTCGTCTCATCACAGTCTAGTTTCCGTTCCCTAAGGCTCCCTCCACCAGCAGCGGCTGCCCCCTGGGGTCCCCCAGCCACAGGCTTTGCGGGGTGCCACTCGCCACAGCAAACAGTGGGAACGGAGCTGCACCCCTTCAAGCTGAAGGCTTTGGGCAGCCTCGTGTCTGTGATTCTGACAGCCCCCTCACTAGCCTGGTCACCGTTCCTTTCAACGCGCTTCTCGGGTGGGATTCAGCCGCGTGGCCACTCCCCACGGCACTCCCTGAGGCCGAGCGCTCTCTGTCCTCGATGCCCATCATCCGGCCGGGCCAGCCCAGGTCTCCTGTGCCCATCAGGCGTCTCCCGTCGGTTAGACTCCTTGACCCTAAACTTAATGCATTCCTTTTACTAATGTGTGTTTTTAAATCTATGTTAATTGATTTCAGAGAGGGAGAGAGAGACACACATCAATGATGAGAGAGAATCATGGATCAGCTGCCTCCTGCACACCCCACACTGGGGATCAAGCCTACAGCCTGGGCCTGGGCCCTGACCGGGAACTAAACCGTGACCTCCTGGTTCCTAGGTCCATGTTCAACCGCTGAGCCACACCATCCAGACCGTGTGCATTATTTTTTAAATACTAAAATGACTGGTTTAACATTGGTTTTAAAATGTTGAAAAGCCCTAAGCTGGGAGTTTGGGAAGTCGGTGGCAGGTGGACCCACAGTGGGAAAGGCTCCAGCCTCTGGTTCATCTCAACCGGGGTCCTCACTGAGGGGCACACTGCCAGGGGCCCTGGCTCTGTTACCTCCTCCCTCCTCCCAGGCACCATCCAGAGAGCCCGCCCTCCCACCCGGGCAGGCCCCGGGACGCAGGCTGCCCCACGCGCTGCGTCAGAGCGGGCGAGGCCCCGTGGCCAACTTGCTGGAAAAGCACTAAATGCCCATTCCTCAACTGGACGCACAAGTCACGTCCCATCTGAGACTCAGAAACACGCCGTTTAGAGCATCTGGTGATGTGGGGAGTGTTTCCCAGAAACCTGTTTTCACCCCCACACTCCCCACGCCACA